ACCTCATCGAGTCTGTTTATCTTATTTCACCGAATCTGATAGCCTCATTCAGTACATTTTAAAATGTGTATTGTGCACAGGTCACCTAGAGTTAAGACGTGATATATAATGCGAGTTTAGCATGACTTGACTGAATTTGTTGGTAACGTGTTGTGTTGACAAGGAAAGTTAACTATTGGGAACATGGACTGTTTCCTGATGATAGTGATTGGATTTTTTTTTATATTTTTATTTAATACATAGAACAAATACAATAATGAGTAAGAGTATAAAATTACAAAACCTCTAGTACACAATCCTGGTACATTTAAAGAACACCATAGATAATGGCCATATTACAACCATATACATAACCCACAACCATATACATAACCTACAAACCCTTCTTTTATAATAATCATTATTGCTAGCGCAGACACAGCTGACACTTCTACCCCCCCCCCTCCCCGTATGTACAGTCCCCGTTCTAAATAACATACATTAATTATCCTAATGAATGGTCATACACTGACCTCATCAAAACCTAAGAGTTGGTAGTGCATCAACAAGACACAAAAACACAAATTTACAGACTAAAACAGATATGAAACATTACATTCCTATACACATACACTGTAATAAGTAGAATATACACCACCAATATGATATGAAATATTAATTTTAACCATGAATTACAAACATTCAAAACATTGAATATCGTGAAGTTCACACTCAAAATACAAGATAATACACCACATGCCACATTAGCGGTACAATACTAGGCTATGTAAATTATTTAAAGAACCCAAGACTAGAACATGAATAAGTATTATCCAAAAAGTTCATCATAATTTTAGTAATTTAACAACTCCAAACTCCTTATAACACCTAACACGCCACATACAAACTTACCAATAACGTAACATACATTCCACAAGACTATACTTTCGCTGTGCTTTCTAGCACGTGCCTAACTAGTATTACTTACAAATATAGATACAAAAATTTTAATGTAGAGAACTAATCCTTATCCACACACGTTTACATAATAGGAAATTACTTTAAATGTGATGCAGGAACGCGTAACAAAAATGGCAAAAATAACTCAGTTCTTCAAGGAACATAGTGAAAGGAATATCCTCTCAAGAAAAGTTTAAAATTCAATTGCAAGACCAGTACAAGCGAAACATAATACGCTACCAAAGGAAAATATACATATTATATAATTTATATATTTAAACTGCCATTTACACCTTCCCCATCAAGGGAACTAAGCTAAACTAATCTTTCACAACCTCTCATCTAGACCCACACGAGTACCTCCAGTCACACCCAATCACCCATCATTGCGCACCCAAGGAGGTGAGCCCGTTGAATACCCCTGAACCCCCCCTCCGTTTTATCACCCTACTCATCCCAGCAGTTAAAACCCCTTATAACACCAATAAATTCCCTATTGTTAGGCCTCTATAACACTCGGAAAAAATCTTATCCCACCTTTTCCCAAAAATGTCTCTATTGCGACACAAGGTTCGATAAAAACGTCGCCGCCAAAGTCCTTCTCAGCACATCCCCACCCTCCTTCCCCCTCATTACCCCACAAAACATATATGTAGTCCACGATTACATATGTTAAACCCCTTACCACACCCTCATCCACACCACTCGTATCAAGACTCAACGCTCGCAATACCGACACACCTTGACCCCCCACCCTCACCACAACCTTATTCATCCATACCCTGATGCACTCCAAACCTTCACAAAAATAGACAACATGATATGCAGTCTCTTCCCCACTGTATCTGCCACACCCCCACCCTCGATAACCCTCCTATCTCGGAGCATCGCTCCCGATGTCAAAATCCCATGCAGGAAACGATACATAACCTCACGTGGCCTAGGTCGTATCCTTAATCTTGTCCCCCAGGATGCGACCCACACCAGTCGACTAACACCCAGGTACCTATTTGCTGCTAGGTGAACAGGACAACAGGTGTAAGGAAACGTGTCGAAATGTTTCTACCCGCCGGGAATCGAACCCGGGCCCTCCGTGTGTGAAGTGGGAGCTTTAGCCACCAGGCCACTGGGCCACCCCACCAGGCCACTTAATAATTTCAACGAACTTCAAATCGACACCATTGACTTTAGACTCGGCAACACTGACGTCAGTCATTCAGTCACACACTCACACAGTCAGTCACACAGTCACTCAGTCACACGTCTAGTGTTTCCAAAAAAACCTTTGATATCCATCAATATTACCCATCATCTCCCGCTGCGTGATAAATTATTACAATCTGGATACCTAAACTTCAACTACCCTATTAATTACAATCTTTTTAACTCGTCATCTAAACTATACTAAAATTCGTCGGGGACTACAAATATACACGCAATAATTTTGATCTTTACTAGTGAACTATACAATGATAAGACATCAAATTATATTATTACTTTAATTTCTCGCAACCAAAATTATCACATATACAAAGCACCACATCATAAACTATCTATTACTAACATGATATAATTTACTACATCACAAATACCAGTGTCACAACTGACACATAACCCCATTGTAACAGTTATAAGAACATAAGAAATGAGGAACACTGCAGCAGGCCTGTTGGCCCATACTAGGTAGCTCCTTTAGAATTCATCTCGCTAACAAAACATTTGCCCAACCCTGTGTCACATTACACCCGTGTCTCCCTATACACAAACTTTGCTACCGTGTCCACACATCCTTATCTCCATGTTATAATAAACACTTGGCGTGTGCCCACACAACTTGCATTGTCAAGCACTAACAAACACCGTTCTTGGCGCCAGCCGACAACGTCCAGTCGCTCCCATCACCAAATTCCGTAACCAGTCAGTCACTCAAAGAAACTAAATTATTCAGTCCCATCAATAAAATTTCCAATCATTCCCAGCATCAAACTAACTAATTGATCGGGAGGCACTGGGTGGGGTCATTGAGGAGGAAATATGAAGAGCCCTTATGGACATGAGGAAGGGAAAGGCACCCGGGATCGATAGTTTACCAAGCGAATTTTATGTACAGCACTGGGATCTGCTTAGGGGTTTCCTAGTAGTTAATGAATACCATGAAGGAAGGAGGTAAGATGGGAGAATCACATTAACGGCGGTGATGGTGTTGGTCCCGAAGGGTAAACAGCAGAGTACCCTTCGGGATTACCGAGCCATTTCGTTGCTTTATGCTGATTATAAATTGTTCGCGAAAATTCTTGGGAATCGGCTTAAATGTGTTGTGGGGAGGGTCGTGTTTGAGTCTGTTTGCGTTGCCTGGTAGGTCAATGGGCGAGGGCCACGGGATCATAAAGGGGTTCCTGGAGGACATGGAAAGGGGAAGAGGGGCGTTGGTGGCGTTGGATTGGCAAGGGGCTTATGACAAGGTGGAAAGAAAGGCTTTGAGGGATATTCTCCTACGACAGGGGTTTGGCGAAGAAATAGTGGGGTGGGTGGATACGTTGTACTCAAACGCGAAGGTAAGGGTGCAAATCAATGGGTGTGTGGGGGAGGGAGTCACCATGGAGCGAGGTCTTGGGCAGGGATGTCCATTATCATAACTTTTGTTTGCATGTGTTCAGGATCCCTTTTATAGGATGGTGGAGGATCGTCTAAGGACAGGGGATGGGGATGGTGAGCAGAAGCCTTGGCCTGGTTTGGTGGACTATGTTGATGATACAACTATTTTGGTGAGTGAGGAGACACGGTTAGGACTTTTGGAGGAAGTTGTACATAATTTTGGGAGAGCTACTGGGATGAAGGTAAATCTGGAAAAGTCAATGATAATGGGGTTGGGAGAGTGGGCAGGGAGATTAGATTGGGGATGTGATGTTGTGCAGCGGAGAACCAGGAGTCTGAAAATCTGTGGTGTCGTTTATGAGGCTGACCTGAGTGCTGCAAGGATTAGTAATTCGAATAGGATGGTGGAACAGGTGCACCGACGTTTGGGAATGCTCCGACCGCACCATTTAATCCTTAGGCAACGTGCAATCGTCATCAATATATTACTATATAGTAGTCTGGTTTGTTTCGGCAGTGATGCCGTTAACAGGAACAGCGATCACGAGTATTCTTAGAATGGTGTTCAAATTTTTGTGGGGCTCAGGGTGCAACTGGTTGCGAAGGGAGGTAGTGACATTGCCGGTATGTAGGGGAGGGTTAGGTTTGTTGGACTTGAGAAAGCGCGTTAAATGTGTTTTTATTAAGAGGGAAGTGATAAGTGCAGGTGCACGGAGGGGGGGGGGGGGGGGCAGCTAGATAAGGTACATGCTCACCTGAGGAAATGGTATGGAGGGGCGGAAATGAAGGAATGTGAAAGTGTTACGTGCTTTAGTGTTAGCCAGGGAACCGGGAAAAGTAAAAGGTGGGAACTTTATGTAAATTGTTAGAGAGAAAATGTAGTGGCGCCGGTTCAAAGGATCTACCCCATGTATGCATGGGATGTAATATGGCGAAGATTAAGTAAATTAAGGACCCCAATGGAAATAAGTTAGACAGTCCTCGATGACGCACTGACTTTTTTGGGTTATCCTGGGTGGCTAACCCCCTGGGGTTAAAAATCCGAACGATATCTTATCTTATCGAGAATCCAAGGGCGTAATGTATTATGGGACATTTTTAAAGAGTATATGTACATATTTTTTCTGAATCATCATTTATATGTATTTGAAGACATGTGGGAGATTGAATCGAGATTATTATAATCAAAGAACGTGGTAAACCTACAAAGGTCTTAGAGGGATAGAATATACGAAATGTGTATTGTAGCGATTACACTTTAGAAAATTTTATGATATTTATTTTTTTGGGGTTTGTGACAGTGGTGATTAATAGTTTTAATTTAATGGCTCAAAATTTCTAATGTTATTAGAATTAGAGCTGTCTGGAAACAAGCAGCAGCAGCAGCAGCAGCAGCAGCAGCAGCAGCAGCAGCAGCAGCAGCAGCAGCAGCAGCAGCAGCAGCAGCAGCAGCGAGTGCTGTTTCTGTCGAGTACTTTCTATATGCCCATGTATTACTCATTCAAGTATAGATGGGCTTTTAGACGTTTTCACATTTGTTTAAAAATTAGACGAATTTTGAATATTTATGAAAGTTACAGAAACAACCTTAAACGGGATTATGCGCAATTTTATTGGTTCATATACAAATGCTCCTGTATACCATAATATATAGAACTGTGTATAGAAGGTAGAACAAATTTATGAAGTCTTTGGGTGACAAATTGACGAGTTGGTGGGTTATAGTCAAATAGATTACAGACGTAGTTAAATAGTGGGTCTAAGGGGTGGGTGTTGAATTTTTAATAAGTGAAGTAAGTTGAAAATTAATGACTCGATTGAAAAAATTATAGAGTAACGAGTCATTTATGTGTCGACGCTTGGTCACAACTGTACATCCACGAGTAGAAGTATTCGCATATATACGAGTACACAAAGTACAAATGCAAATATACATACAGAAGCACACATACACACACATGGTAATGTTTTCCAATACATTTGTGACTAAAATAATATTTCGAGGTAGACTAATAAGCTAATAGTAGTGTTGTTGTATGGCCGTGGTGGTAAGAGGTTCCTTTATGGTTGTAGATAGATTTTTGATGCAAGGAATGTAATGTTGACAGCGTGGACGTCAAGTTATCCTGCGAGGTGGTGTGTGTGTGAGTGAAGTTGTAGTTTGTAATTATTGGAGCGGAGGGTGGAAGGAGCCGCCGGGACCACTTGTGTATAGTGCTAGAATTCTTGAACTGAGCGTCGGTTAGTTGGTGGTTAGCCATTACACGTTTGATTTGAGCTCTGGTGGTGATAGCACGAGTTAGTTTAGGTAACAAGCTAACGTGCAGTGTAGCGCATTAATATGATGAAGGATAATTAATGGCATTAGTCAGAGGTGTAATGTGGAAGGTGAAGACGAGTTAGATTCAGTTGAAGAATAGCTTTTGGAGGTGGAATAAGTTATTTTATTTGTGGTGTTTGTACGATTGAATATTTAATTTTTCTGTATGTAAGTATGGTCCGGTAAAATAATTGTAAGTATAAGAACAGGGATAAGTTTATTTTTTTCCAGTGTAGGAGTGTGAGTAAATTGTTAGAATTACTGGATGGGTTTCGATGCTTGGAATCTGAGGTATTTGCGTTTAGGAGTAGTATGATATTTAAAGTAAATGAATATTTAAAGTAATGGAATTTAAAGTGATAGTTGTGGGTGTTTGTGGGAAACAATCAATGAAGGTGCAGTATTAGGGTTAAAAAGAGCGGTTCTTATCGGGATACCTGAGGGATATGTTTAAAAGAATATTGAAAATGAAGTTGCTAGTAATGGTAAATAAAGTGATGAAGAAAGAAATAGTAGAGGGCAACGAGTGACTAGCTCGTTTAAGGTTTACTATACAAATATTAAGAGTATAAGAAATTAGATGAATGAGGTAAGATTACTTGCAAGTGTAGGTAATATAGATATTATTGGTATAAGAGAGACGTGGTTGAACTTGAAAGAGAAATGCCTTGTGAATACAACATAGCTATAAAGTATTTTAGTGATTGATTGGGTCAGAAAATTTAAATTATAGTCTTAAACATGATATAATAATCGAAACATGGAACATAATGTGTTTGTCGAGGGACGTGACAAATTAATTTTTTTTTGATTTATAGGAGTGCAGTAAGATGTTATGGGAGGAAATTGATAAGGCATGTAGATATGAAAATGTGATAATGTGAGATTTTAACTTGAGACAAATTGATTTGACCACTAAGAGAGGAAATGTTGAATATAGTGACTTTGTTGACACGGTTCACGATTGCTTTTTTGAACAGGATGTGATAAATCAGAGGAAAGAATGTGCTTCAATTTGTTTTTTACTAAGAAAGACAGAGTAATTAATAATGTTGAGGTTACCTGCAGGTTATTCCGGGGATCAACGCCCCCGCGGTCTGGTCCATGACCAGGTTTCCCAATGGATCAGGTCGTGATGAAGTAGGGTGTTACTGCTGGCCGCACGCAGTCCAACGTACGAGCCACAGCCCGGCTGATGAGTTTGGGGAAAGTGATGACAAATCACTTAGTTTAAATATATCATGGAAATACTCTAATAAATGCAATCAATGAAATATCTTAGATTTTCGCTTAGCCGACTTGATGACTGAAAAATGACGTTTATTGGATAAATTTGGATGTGGTGACAATGGGTCGCGTAGGTGATGTTAGCTATAAATATGACGTTTTTCAGAGGATAGTTTAAGTATCCAGAGAAGATTTGTTTGTAGTAGGGAAATTATTAATATAACGAAAAGGATTTTAAATGGATGAAGAATAGATTAAAACATGTCATTGGTGAAGAGGCATATATAGTGGTATGAAAAGAGGGGATGGGCAGTTTAGAAATTAATATTCAATTAGAGAGGAATAAAGAAAGGAATAAGAAAAGGAAAAAGGGATTGAGGGTAGGGTGGCAAGAGATTCAAAGACAAATCCAAAAGTGTTGTTTGAGATATACAGAAGTAAGATTAGGGACAAGATTGGCTCAGTTGAGAGTAACTGATGAGATGAGTGACAGTGATAAGGATGTGTGAAATTGTAAATACCTAGTTGCTGTGAGTTTTCGCCCAGGAAAATACTATTTAAAATCGTGAAATAATAGATTGTAGAATTTGATAATAAAGTATGTACGGTTACGGTAAGTAATGTCATGATCCTCAGACAGAGAAGCTAAAAGGTAACAAATCGCCAGGTCGTGATTAAGTGTTTGCAAAGGTGTTAAAGAAATGTAAAGAGGAACTTTGCCTAGCTTTTGTTAATGTTTGTAATATATCGCTACAAATTGGTATGGTGCCTGATAATTGGAAAATGGCAAATGTAATAATAGGTACTTAAAAGGGAGGTGACAGGTCTTTAGTTTGGAAGTATATACCAATAGTAATTAAAAAAATTTCACTTGTGCCTTCATGTCAGCGATATAGACTTTAATAAAGTACATGTAATAAAATATATTTGAGCAGTACACCCACAACATTTCCCTCCCTCCCTCCCTCCCTCCCTCACTGAACGCAGGAACGAATAACGAAAATGATTTAACCTTGAACATATTAGTATATTGTTGACAATAAGAAATTGTATGTTTAGTATAAGAATCATAGATTTTCAACATGAGAAATGTTTAATAAAAAAGAACATAAGATTGAAGTTATTATGAGTAACTAAAAACCTTTCATATAATTATGGATGCCGTTATCGATGAGAGCATTACATATGATAGTCACGTACTGTCATAAATTGTCATATGTGCAGACGTTGATACGTAATGACATGGTTTTTGAAAATTTATGTTGACAGGAGTTATATCAGTGTCATACATGCCGATCAACTGAAATAAGAATAAAAAAATAGGTAATAAATATATTAAGCCTCGTTGCATGCCTATGTCCAATATACATATTAATTAAGCACATTTTTGTGCAGGTGAACTACTACTCATTCCCCCTCCCTCTGAGATTATATTAGACATGGTCATAGCATTGTTCATTGAACATAGAGAAATAATCATGAATCTTAATTTAACGTTATACCTGGAGAGTGTTCCGGGGGTCAACGCTCCCGCGGCCCGGTCTGTGACCAGGCCTCCTGGTGGATCAGAGCCTGATCAACCAGGCTGTTGGTGCTGGCTGCACGCAAACCAACGTACGAGCCACAGCCCGGCTGATCCGGAACTGACTTTAGCTGCTTGTCCAGTGCCAGCTTGAAGACTGCCAGGGGTCTGTTGGTAATCCCTCTTGTGTGTTCTGGGAGGCAGTTGAAGAGTCTCGGGCCCCTGACACTTATTGTATGGTCTCTTAACGTGCTAGTGACACCCTTGCTTTTCATTGGGGGGATGGTGCATCGTCTGCCAAGTCTTTTGCTTTCGTAGTGAGTGATTTTCGTGTGCAAGTTCGGTACTAGTCCCTCTAGGATTTTCCAGGTATATATAATCGTGTATCTCTCCCTCCTGCGTTCCAGGGAATACAGGTTTAGGAACCTCAAGCGCTCCCAATAATTAAGATAAGATAGATAAGATTTTGTTCGGATTTTTAACCCCGGAGGGTTAGCCACCCAGGATAACCCAAGAAAGTCAGTGCGTCATCGAGGACTGTCTAACTTATTTCCATTGGGGTCCTTAATCTTGTGTCCCCCAGGATGCGACCCACACCAGTCGACTAACACCCAGGTACCTATTTGCTGCTAGGTGAACAAGACAACAGGTGTAAGGAAACGTGTCGAAATGTTTGCACCCGCCGGGAATCGAACCCGGCCCCTCCGTGTGTGAAGCGGGAGCTTTAGCCACCAGGCCACCGGGCCACACTTGAGGTGTTTTATCTGTTATGCGCGCCGTGAAAGTTCTCTATACATTTTCTAGGTCGGCAATTTTACCTGCTAGGACATAGTACATATGTTGATGACCAGAAAGACGTTTGCAATAGTGTAATATGCATATTACTATGCTTACATTATTGACTGATTTTATAAATGTTGTCATGGACGCGAAGTTTATTAGTTTATCAGGTTTATTGGAAGGTAATGATTTGTCAAGTGCATTTTAAGTAGGTATTACATTTGCCATTTTGGACTTGTCAGGAAATGTGGCAGTTTTTAGTGATTGATATGTTGAAGAATAGGTAAAGGTCATTCCCTGCTCAGACGCTGTGCTGAGCGGTCTTGAGCTATCTCTCCTCACTCCCGACACCTGGTGGAGGAACTTTGGGACGACAACAACAATGGCGACGGGTTTTCGAAGAAGAGTTAATACTGTGTGTATTGACCTTATAAAGGGCACGATCCCCAGCGCATCGGTTAATGTGTTGGTGCCGATGATCATCTGCGATGTATATGGTATCCAGCGTGAATCCCTGTATGGCGTTGCTTTAAATGGACTATCACGGATATTCGTCAAGTTTTGCGACACAAAGAAGTACGAGCAGATTGTCAACCAGTATCAGGATGTTAGCAAGCAAGTCACCCCAGCATTCACAGTTAAGTTGCATGACGTTTCACATTACTACACATGGGTACGTGTGCGAAACGTGCCTTTTGAGGCTAACGAAGTTGACATACGTGAAGCCTTCAAATACTATGGGACGATCCACCAGGTTACTTTGTGTCGGTGGTCTGATGGCCACTTTGTTGGTTTACAGGAAGGGTCTTTGACGTTAAAAATGTCCCTGCGCCAACCAATACCTTCGTACATAAACGTAGAGGAGTTCCGTATCCAGGTGTATGTTATGTATCCTGGACAGAGGCGAACTTGTCGCCTTTGCGGAGCATTGAATGACATTTCTGCACAATGCGTTAAGCGGCAGCCGCCCTCGGGACGTGGTCATCGTCCGGATGGTGAGGCTCCTCGTAGGAATCTTGCAGATGAAGTAATGGAGGACTTATCGCGCCTGAAATCGTGGAGTGATGAGGTGGATCGGGCCATGCTCGTGGAGTCATCCTGCGTGACTCTACCTGGTACGGTTAACCACGAAGTGGTAGAACATGGTGGACGTAAGAGCCCTCAAGCAAGAGAGGATGCTGACATGGACGCTAACATTGTATGGACATTGAGTGACCTTTTAGCTTCGCAGGAGTATGATTTTGTGCCTTGTGTGCCTGCATTTGAGTGTTAAGATGAGGAGAGAACACGGTTAAAGGACGTCGATGAGTTAATTAAAGTAAATGAGGTAGAAGGTCCGAGAGTTGATACTGTTGCGGTAGAAGTTCACAAGGAGAACATTACATGTCCTGATCAAAAAGTTGAGGATGCTGTTTCTAGGAAGTGTGCGGCTGCCCCGCCCGACTCGGACGATGTCTTGACCCCTGGACAGCGCTCAGGGAAGAAGACGTGGTCGGAAGTCACGGGTGGGGCGTCGCGTGGTTCCAGGACAGCGAGTAATATAACAGAAAATGTACAAGGTAAAGGTGGCGCCTTTGGCGTTAGTCAACGTAAAGGGAAAAAGGGTGTGGTGGTCCTTCGAGGAAAGCCACCGTTAGCAAAGTTAGGTGTATAACCATAAATGT